GTCTCTGTTGCTTATCTTTGCCAATCTTCCGGTACTAATTAATTTCCTCCATTATGAAAGTAAAATATTTCAAAATGGGTTACTGTTTGTCTTATTCCCGAATTTTCTATTTCATGAAAGCAAGTCGATTTAAAAAACTAATTTCTGTGCACCCATTTCTGAGTTTTGCGGTTACAGTGACGATAGCAAATGAGGTCAGGCCTGATGTTAATTACAATTAAATTATCGTTGTTTAAATTTTTTATAGATACTGAGATATCTTTCCACTTCACCGTGGTTTCGTTCAAATTATGTTCTGGTGGCAGTAGTATCAAATTGCAATACGTTTAGTTACAAGATTTTTAAAATATAACATCTTTGATCCCTGTTAACTTCTTAAATAAAACTATATTAAAACCCTCCCCCAAACAATGCCGAAGCCCAGAAAAAATCTGCATTCATTATTAACCAATAAAACGCAAAAAAAATTATTTTTAACAACCTTAAAAACCCTTACATTCTTTATGTATGCAAAATTGGGACTTTCCAAGTCAGCAAGAAGATATATTTATTTCAGTTGGGTTTTTCTTGCTTTGGACGATGGATTTATAAGCAGTTTATACACAAGAAACTATATAATGCTAATTTAAGGATGGAGCTGATAAGGTCAAAGACATTGTTGACAATGCAATTGATTAAAGTCTTAATTTCTATTTTCACAGAAGACCCAAAATACTTAGAGTTTTTATTTTATTTTACTTTTTTGCATATAAAAATATCAGAAACATGTTGTTCCGGAATTCCAAGTGTAAATATAATCTCCTTTCATACTTAATTATTAATTTCAAGTTGACCATCTTCGCCATTTTCTCTATGTAATTCGCCATTTTATCTTAGAATATATTCTTCCCTGCGTTATACGGCCTTGACCATTGATTTCTAGGTAAAGAAATCTAGAAAAACACTTCTAGTATACTTATATTTTTGATATCCCGTTTCACATCGATTTTTTAGAGTAATATGATATGATATCTAAAACACTAGAAATTATTACTGAATATTTTTGGCTAAAAATTTTGAGCCAATAGTTCAGGCTCAACAAGTTATTTGGGTTAGTAATTATCGGGTTACTACAAATAGTATTAAAGCAAAATGATCTTTGCACTTCTATTTGGATATAAATATAAATTTGTGACTTAATGAGGACGTTAAGTATTTAAGTGGAAAAGATTGTGATATCCCGTCCTATTGGACTTGTTCTATTTAGATATGAATATGTATTTGTAACTTAATGAGAACGTCAAGTATTTAAGTAGAGAAGATTGTGATGTTTCATTCCACATCGATTTATAAGTATAATATGATATAATATGTAAAAGATTAAAAATTACTACTAAATAACTTGAGTTTAAGCATTTTGAGCTAATAATTTAATCTCAACAAGTTATTCAGGCTAATAGTTCTCGGTTCGTTACAGAGAAGTTATGTCATTTCTCAATTTTTAATTGTGACAGTAAAAATTTTACAAATTTGAAGGGATAAAGAAAAACTAAACCCAAAGTGAAAAAGTGCTAAGTATAATATACCCATCAAATAGAACAATTAAAAAATGTAATTAACCATTAGATACTATCCTTCTAAAATTTATAAAATTTTAAAAAAAGATTAAAAGAAAAACTCATATGGCATATTTGATAAAAAGTTAGTTTGTACAAAATAAATTTAAAGAAAATGAATTTAGAGGAAATAAAATTCACTACAAGAAAATGTGTCATTACCGATGCAAAAAAAGCATCGGTAATAGAGCAAATTGCATTGGAAATGGAGAAACCGACACTATAACCAACGCAAACACGTGCGTTAGAAGAAAGGCCATCGGAAAAAAGTTACCGACGCAAAAGAATATGTGTCGGAAATTTCCGACGAAATATTGCATCGGAAAATTTCCGACGCACAACTTGCATTGGAATTTCCGATGCATAGAATTGCGTCAGAAATTTCCGACGTAGATAATTGCGTCGGAAATTCCAACACACTACATGCATCGAAAATTCCGACCGAATTTTTTTTTTGATATTAATTTTTCCACACAATTTCTGATGATTTGTTGCGTTGGAAAATCAATTTTTTAATATTTTATTTTATTCAATTATTTATTATTAATAATTAAATTAATACTAATACAATTAGTTAAAATTTTATTATAAAATTAATGTATATTTTTTTATAACATATATTATATTTTAATTTATTAAACATACCCACAAAATTAAATTAATAATTATTATTATTTTATTTTTAGTAATTAATTATGTATTATTATTGATTATTAAAAATTTAATTAATGCAAAATAAATTAATTCATTTAAGATATGCATTTATATAAAATTAAAATAATATATGCATAAATAATATTCAAATATCTCATTGCAAATATAAAAATAATGTCGCTAAAAATATAAAACAACGTCTCTAAAAAAAATCAATCTTGACGGTCACTATCTCCCGACTAAGATGAAGAATTAGAATCGTAAGTAGGTGCAGGAGGGTATGACTGACCGGGCGGTGTGTCCTTCATCTCCTCAATGATTTTATACAAGTTATGAAGGGCAACCTCCACACTCCCAACTTTTTCCCGAAACTCCTCATTCTCTTGACGGAGATTTTGCACCTCCGATTTCATAAAAGACTGATCCGCACTATCGGATAAAGGATAGTGGACCGACTAGGAAGAACTCTGCTTTCCAAGTCTGTATATATGGCCGAAGGCTCTCCCCCTATCGCACATCTCTCAAAGCTCAGTGTCTGACATTCGCTGAGATTCTAAAGTAGACGTCTCCTCAAATGCCAACTAGGAGAATCGGGCAGTTTGGAAGTCAGTCTACATACACAAATATATCATAGAATAAGTTTAATAATTAAATATGTTAATTATAAAAAGTTAATAAATAATATAAATATTTACTAAATTAAATAAAATTTACTTATATAAATCTTTTTTGATCACTGGTCCACCCAGACCTCCTCACCATCTTTCTTCCTGATATGAGTATGCTTAAAAATTTCAAAAATATGAGAAGTCTTCCCGGTCTCTCTTTCCTGCAATACATAATAAAAATTTTATAATTATTTATAACTATAAGATAATAATAAGTCTTTTAAACTAATAAAACTTACCATCTTCATAGCATGCTCATGTGGAGTAGTAGAGTTTCTTGTGTGGACAGAACCGCTTTTTTTCGAACAATGATTTCCTTTATTCTGAAAGCTTATCTTATTAAATGTCTCTCATTTCTAATAAATTTGAAGCTCATCCCACACAAAATGCGGGATCCAATTCGGTTTGCCTCTAATCCGGGTATCCCGAAACATATCAAAAGGGCTATGAGAGCCACGAGAACTTAATACCCGTCTAATGGGTAGCTCATCTCGTGGATCCCATATACAATATTTATACATAAATATAGAAACAAACAATTAATAAAAGTTCAATTATTATTACAGATAAAAAAATATTTTACCATACTGCATTGAAATACGAACTCAGGATTCATTAAATCACAAATCACGAGAAACTGTCCTTCATCTAGGATAACATGATATAAAATTTGACCGAATGACTGCTGTGATAGCACGAGTAGCAGTCATCAAATTATGAAATCTGTAACAGTAAAAAATTAAAAATTTAATACTAGTGATTGATACATTAAGAAATATTTATCAAAATTTTTGAATAATAAATATTTAATATTGAAGTAAATGAATGTAGATAAATTTTATCATTTGGTTATATAAAATGGTAAAAGTAGGTTTGGGAATTTTTAAATAACTAAATTATATTTAAAATATTTTAATATTACTTATTTAAAGTGTAAAAAAACTAATTTTTATTTTTCTTATTTTTTAAATTACGTACAATCCAAAAACCAAGTAAGGCCAAAATCCAATGGCGTTCTGGCGGTTGGAAAGTCTAAGGATATGGGGCCAGGTTTGCAAAAGTCTAACTCACGTGGAAACTGATTTCCTTAATAAATAAATAGGTCGCAAAATCTTTTTCTCCCTGTAACCTTTAAATACTTTTGATTTATTGTTGTACCGTTCCTGGGTTTTCCCTGTGCATAGAAGCCAAGTAAAATTCCCAAACTAGCCTTTCAAAGGAAAACAAAGCTGCAATATATCGTATACATTAGGCCGGGTTTTGATATGCTTTTCTAGGAATACTTTTATAGAAGTGATTTTTAAAAATAAAGGTATTTTATTACTTTTTAATTATTTGGATGTATAAAATTATAAAAGTAATTTTTATAAAATTATTATAAATAATTAATTATATATATAATTTTATATATAAGGACATTATTATTTGAAAATGTTATTTCAATTTTATTCACTACTTTTCTCTCTTCTACTTTAGTAGAGAGTACGAGAGGATGGTCGTATTAACTTTTCAAGAAAAGTAAAAGACTAGTTTTTAGTACTTTTGATTTTTTTATTAATATTACACAAACAAACTTTTTTTACTAAATTTTTTTAACTAAAAAAGTATTTTTTCAAAGAAAAAATTCAAATAAACCCTAAATTAGACTCTCTTGAGGGTTGAAAAATCCTAAATTTACTAATTAACTACCTTTTCAAAAGAAAAGAAGCCTCCTAAGTTAAAAAATAAATTAACTAGTCCATATATGGGGGTGAATTTGAATATTTAGTACTAGTGGACGCTTGAATCCTGTCAATTGGTTCGCTCCTTTTATGTGCAGGGGGGTGAGAAGGACGGTGACAAGGAAATTTCTCGTTTGTGATAGGACAGATATGTAGGTAAGAAACATGTACTAATTGCATGTTTTAGGAGGGTCCCTCCCTTGAAATTTCTTGGCCTCTGCCTTTGAATGAAATTGCGTCGTCCTTTCGACAAGTTGAATATATATAGCTTAATAAGAAGCTCGGCACTAAATCTCTCGATATAAGGTAGCTAAGTTTGGAAGAGAGTCCAGTTGACTAGCTTGAAGACTCATCTTGCAGAAATGGTGAGGGCTCGGTTCTGCAGTCAGACAGGTTTGAAGAAAGGCACTTGGAGCCCTGATGAAGATCAGAAGTTGATAAATTACATCAGGAGACATGGCATTTGGAACTGGAGTGAGATGCCAAAGTTTGCCGGTAACATTCCGACAAACCCAATATGGTTGACACGAATTAATGATCAAAACCCTTCCGTCTCTGTCTGATCGTTTAATTTAATTTGATGTGGCGTAATTTCTTTCTTCATTTTCTTGTTTTTCAGATCTGAGGAGGTCGGGGAAGAGTTGCAGGCTTCGATGGGTGAATTATCTTAAGCCGAATATCAAGCGTGGGAACTTCACCAGAGATGAAGAAGAAACCATACTGAAAATGCATGAAAAGCTTGGAAATAAGTAAGCAATTGATCCACCTGTCAGTTTACTCATACTAAGATTGTGGTAGCAGTAAGTGATGAAATGCACAGTTGTTTTAATTAATTTTTGGAATTACATGTGAAATAAATCATACACCATGAAGATCTGGAGAAGCTCCTTCTGTTCGTAATAATATTGGTTGAATTCAACAACAAAAACTAAGGACACATGAGTTGCTAAACATTAGAGCAATACAATTAGCTAGTACGCTGGTTCAGGCTGCCATAACATGGAAAAACAAGAGATAGAGGAGCCATGTGCGACAGACTTTTAATAAGTTGTCAAAACCAAGTATAAATTTTCTGTACTTGAAGATATTTGTTGGAACTAATAGGAGAGATTGTTCTAATTTCTTTTCTCTTTTGTTTCAGATGGTCTGCAATTGCAGCGGTTCTGCCAGGGAGAACAGACAATGAAGTAAAGAACCACTGGCATAGTCGTCTGAAGAAACTACAACATAACCCGAAGGCTCAACTGCACGAATGCAAGATGGAGGCAAATTACCAGACTAACTTACCTCCTCAAGTGAACGACTCGCCTCATGACAGCGTTTCATCCCAACTTGTTCCCGATCCTTGCTCATCTCCTACCGGGACTAACGAAAATCCAAAGATAGAGGCAAATCTTGCCACACAAGCACTTGGAGAGCACCCAAATTTCGTGGAACAACTAGCATCAATCGACAAGTTGCTTGCGCAAAATCTCGAAGATACGATTGATTGTATGCGGCAGATGATTATTCATTCTGATCACATATTGCCCTACACGCAGGTCTGGTGGCAAGAGCCTATAAGCCCATTTGGCTTCGGTAGTGACGCAACTAGTGACCTTCGCGGGTTGAACTTGTAGTTCCTTTAGCAACAAACCCTAGTTTTCATAGTGACCTACTACTGCTCCTTAAATTGGATGCATGGTTCGGAAGTGCTCAAGAATTATGGGTATAAGTTGTCTTCATATTTTCATCTAGGACTACACGTTTTTATGCTTTTTTATGAAGTACCACAATCCAACAAAAGAGCTAGCCCTCAAATGGTGTTCTATCTACCTGTGTCGTGCCATTGTGCATCTTGTGTGAAATGCTTCAATGGCATGGAATAACTGTCTGATGTTTAATGTTTACCTCAATGTTCGAGAAGCTAGTTAATAATATCATATTTGCGCATCAAAATCTGTTCCAATTGTGATAGAGATTAGAGAAGTTCAAATTAATTTCCCATGGAAAGGAAAAGTTTAGAAACTGCTAATAATTCTCTAACAAAACCTGAATTGTTGTGAGTTTTTGTAATGTCAAGTGGATTTTAAAAGGGTTTTGAGATCATTACAAATCAATTTTTCGGCAGGAATAGTAAATACAATTGGCTGAGAGTTCAAAGCTTGTTTAATATAATCACAAAAAATTAGTTTTTTTTTTTTTTTAGGGCGGGGGGGGGGGGGGGGGAGTGGCATGAATATGTAATTCCACTCCCATGTCTCATCTCAACTGAAGATCTTGATAACATCGCATCTTCCAAACCTTATGTTAGTTTGTTGGTCTAGTGTTAGGGTGTGCGGTTTGTTCCCTCATTTTGCCTAGTTCTTTTTTTTTTGGTGTTTAGTCAGCAAATTTTTCTCTTCAATTCTCAATTTGGAATTGTGTGGTGTACCTCTTTCCTTAACTGAAGCTTTAATGAATCCCACAGTTTTTGCCTAAAAAAATCATAAGATATAAAAAATAAGTAATTCACCTAAAAAGCTAGTTTTATTGATATTTTTTGTGTTTAGCACCTCAGATTATTTGTTTTAATATGGGGAAAAAAATGAAAAATAGCTTTTGTGCACGAATAAAAAGTAAAAAAATAATAAAAATATTTATCTTTTTACCAATATTTTAAAACAAACCATCATTATAAAAATTCAATTTTTCATAATTAAAAATTTTAAAAAAGATTTTTTCATATATTATATTTTTCTCTATCGAGGTTATGATCAATGGGTGATAATTTAATTCATTGTGGTTGTCTCACTCAGGTGTTTGCTTTCTCTCTCCACTTTTGCTGTGGTGGGGTAATTAAGCTATGAAGGTCAATGAATAAAAGGAAAATAATCACGTGTAAAAATGAACCAAACACTATTTAATTAACTTAATTATCCTTTCTAGGAATTCCGAAGTGCAACTGCCCAGGTTGTCAATCCTGTGGGAGGCGTACCATAAAATTGTCGCCATAGGTACAGTACTGACGCTTTGTGGGTTATGGGTAGGATTGACCTGCGTCGCCTTTCAAAGAGAATTTCTTGCCTAGTAGCATGTTTTTAAGCATACTTTTATCTTTTGGCATTTTGATTGACACTTGTTTTCTGGACCAGGAATCCAGAACATTAGAGATGAACAATGTCCAAGATGGAACTTGCATGGTCGGGGTGACACAATATTGGTAGGGGGCTATGGCGAAGGCAACAAATCAATATTTTCTTTGCAGCCACCACCTGTTATATCGATCAACCCACCCAATCACTGTAGTCCACAAAAGAATACCGGGAATGGGGATCACTCATGGGCTTTAGAAGTCGTGCATTCTTCCCCTTCGGTTGCTCCACAACACTAATATATGGACTCCCACAAGCCACTTCCCCACAAGAAAACGGCTTTCTGTAGAGCTCTAGTGCACGAGGGATTGCTAGGCTATCCCAAGCAGATAATGACACTGCCTTTCTAAATGACACACTGGATGCAATGAGGATGGTATCTGAGTTCGAAGCATGTGGAGGAGAAGAGGAAATTCAAAAGTTTTAAGTCTGTTTGGTCACCTGATAATTTGAGCTTTTGTATCTGGCTTTGCATTTCAAAACATCTCAAGGCCAAAATATCGCAGCTTATTGGCTGATGGCCTTTTACCTTAGAAGTCTAGAGGCTTCTTGGCATTCTGAGTTACAAAGGCAAAGATAGGACAGGTGACCAAACAGGCTTAGACGCTGACCGTTAATCAAACAGGGGGCAATTGCAAATTGCTGCAGCCCCTGTTCCTCGCAAGTGTATTCATTTGTGTCATGCCTACTTGAACTGTATTTAGTCACGCACACCAAGTATGGCTGAGACGGGATTTTTGTAAGTTAATGGTCGTTGTCTGGTCAACATGTGCTAGATACTGTTTTTGAATTTCAAATCAAACTGTTAAACGTCCATCTTTGTGCAAAAAATTTCTGCAAGTTGTATGGCAAATATTACATATTTTAATACAAATGTATGTTTGACTATGACTTTGAACATAAGTGTTGGAGGTATTTGTAAGATTAAGTATTTAATTTGAGTGATAAAATATTTGTATATTAACCCTTCGTGCAGGAGCAAAGGCTTTGATTTTCTCTAAGGCTTCGGTCGTCTAGTCTAGAAGTAGAGAGGTGCAAGTCATCAAGAAATATAATGGTCTTATTAGCTTAATAGAAGTTACTGTCAAAACTTTGAGGGGGCAAAAATAAAATCAATTATGAGTTCAGGGTGCAAAGAATAAAATTTTCCACTTTCAGTTGTGCGACGTAGAGAGCGCTTTAATACTAATGTTTTTTGTGAGAGATGTTTAAGGAAAGAAAAGAATTAACAAGAGTATTAGTGTTTTTGTGAGAAACGATGGAGAAAGTATGGTTTCTGTGGTGTTCTTTGATATTCAACTTTAAATTAAAATATTATTTTAGGGTTTGTGATTTTTAATAATTAAATTAAATCATGAATTTTTAAAAACTTAACTAAATCAATTTACTGATCGTGATTTGATTTGATTACAAATGGTTTGATTTGTTTTAATCAGTTTATGCTGTTTGAACCAATATTTTGACCACAAATAAGAAAAAGAAAAAAATAATAAGATAAAAATATTTGGATTGTTCAAATTGCAAGAAATGATAAGAATTTATATGAATTAATTGATTAACAAGACTTTTTAAAAATGTCATTTACAGTCTCTCCGTCTCTTGCGTATTTTGATTTTCATAGATTATGGTATGGCTGGTGGAGAGTTGGGTTTTAATTTAAATTTGATTTGATATTTTATTATTTAAATTTGATTAAAATATTTAATAAATTAAATTTAATAATAAATATCTGTAATTAAAAATAAATAAATTAAATATAGAATTAAGTAATCTGTTACGTTAAAAATTCGAATTCGAGTTTAATGATATTTTTAATTAAATTAATAATATTATATAAGTGATATTGATAAATTTAAAGTTAGAGAGACTAAATTGAGAAAAATTAGAAAATTTAAGAATTAATATGATTAATAAAATAGAATTGAAAAATTTAAATGTAAAAGATGATTATTTTCTTATTAGTTCAAATTTTTTTATTGACTTTTAGATTATTTATCAGATTTAGATAAAGTAATAATTAATTAAATTCAGATTTAGATTTGAATATATTTTATTTGATTCAAATTTGATTTGATAAGAACAGTCCTACGCTTAGACTTGATTAATAAGTTTTAAGTATTTCTTTCACATTTATTTATTATTTTATTATTTTTTTAAGGCTACCATCATTTTTCTAAAAAACTTTTGATTCTTTAACGGCTGTTTGGCCGTAAAAAGGTAAGAATTTGTGGGTTATTTATTCCCTTTTTTGAGCCTTGATTTTTTATGTCTTGTTGGGTAATGTTTACATTTTTTAGCATATTTTTAAGAAAATTATTTAAGAATTTAAGGCGTGCGTTGCTAAGACTAATAATAATTGGAAACATAAATTAATTTTATACACAAATATTTTTTCTTTAAATTTTTCACACCATCGTGTTAGCCCGCCATCAAAACAACCCCTTAGGTGTTTATCATTATGTTTCAAATGGGCCTCGTCGGAGCTGTGGTGGAGTCACCACTACAAGTAAATACCAATAATTGAAGAGGGTGGATCTAGTGAGTGCCAGATTCCATGAGAGTATTATATAATAACCCACTAATATATCAGATGTAGTTAAATTTTTCCAAGACACGTGCCGACGATGACCACAATGTAAATCCGCCCTTGTGTCCCTTCTTAGCTGTCATTGGATGGCTTCAAGTGTACTTCATTCTTTAAGAACCAATCATAATTAACCAAATATATTAATCAAATTACCGCGTGATCTTAGCTTACTTTTGTCAGTACAATATTAATCCTCCAAAACAAAATTCTTCGTGCCACAGAATCCTAGTCATGATCTTCTTCGAAAAATAATTCCCTATAATGCGAATGAAAACCCCACATTTAACGGAGATTAGTCCAATTAATCACTTATTTTCGGCCTTGGTCGAATGTTCACACAAAACAAACCAAACTTAATAGACATATTATATGGTTAATTGCTTGTTTATGCATATTGTGAGTTGGTAGCCGTCCTTGTTGCTGTTGTATCTATTTCTCCTTTAGCACGACAAGAACTTTGTCCTTCATTTCATGTCACTTCCATTAAATAGAAATTTTCCTATGACTGACGGCAAGACTGGAAAATAATGTCAAAATAGGTGTTCTGGTTGGCTTATTACTCCTTAATTTTCTATGTTACCAGAGCAACTTGATTTATAATTTTGGGTTACGCTGAATGATGACAATGGGAAACGATGTCATGCTGATGTTAGTGAAAATTAATTATCCTTGTTTAAGCATTGTTTATACAACCAGAGGGAATAGCGAGTGTAGAGATGTTTTGAATTTATGTGTGATAAATGATTGGTAAATTTAGGTGTGTCAATAACTTAGAATTTAATTTGAATTTGATTTGAATTCAATTTTTGAATTTTAAATTTTGAATCTGATTAAAATATTCGATATATCAAATTCAATTATAAATATTCGTAATTTAAAATAAATTGATTAGATATTGAATTAAGTAATTTGGTCCGTTAAAATTTTAAATTTAAATTTTAGTAATATTTTTATTAAATTAATATTCTTATATATGTAATATTAATAAATTCAAACTTGTAGGGATTATATTAAGAAAATAAAAAAACTCAATGATCAATATGACTAATGAAATAGATTGAGAAATTTTAGTATAAAAAGTGTCACTTTTTGTCAAATCAGATTTTTATAGCAGATTTTAGATTATTTATTAGATTTGGATGTAGTTTAATACATACAGATTTTATAAGATTTCAGATTATATTCAAAATGGTAATTGAATTTAGATTTACTTGATTTAATTCAACTCTGACTCATTGATAGTTCTGAAAAATCTTATTAGTTACTTAAATGGAGCCCCATATAGGGTTTCAGAAATTGTTTGAGGAAAGAAATAATTCGAGTGTAATTAGAGTTTTGGGTTGAAAAAATTGCTTATAATTTCCTACTTATACATAATAAATTTCCTTATATTGTCACATTTTATGTCAAAATTTAAAGGTGTAAATCTGTCTATGTGTGTGCTTATTTCTTTCATTTTCTCTATTCTTGTTTAATCATTTTTAGCATAATGGGAAGAATGTCTAATTATGAAAGAATATTTCTAATCTCTCCACGAAATCACAATTAATTTCATAAGAACCCTAATCTTGCCATCGCTTGCTTTAAAATGATAGAATAATGCTGGAGCTGCCTAACTATAATTGAAGAATATTCTCTTCGACCAACAGAGTCAAGGCAACGGTTACATAATGTGATAAACCGGTCTAACAATGACAATATTTGGCATATATGTATCTAATTATAATTTTTTAAAAAAATTGGGGTGGGTACAGAATTATTCAAAGGCTAAGCACTGAATCAAACTAACTATGCTTCTCACTAGATCGATCCATAGTCAGTTAAGTTTCTGATATAATATTTTATTAGCTGTGCTCAGTTTCTTGCATCAAACATAGATTCTGTTGTATCCTTAACGCGTATTTGTGGATTAACAAAGGTTTAAAGACGCGTGTTGTAAATAATTTTCTTTAAGTCAAGTCTTTCATTTGTCAACGTCAATCGATGACAACGATGTGCGTCAATTATTTGTGTAATTCGACGCACCTAAATCGTCACGTGCGAGTTGTACGTCTTTGACCGTTGATTTTCTTGCAGACAAACTAAGAAAAGAAAAATGCTCACTTCGTTTGTTGTTTTATAGTGCTTGTTTAGAGTGTTTTACCAAGGATGGAAAACATTGTATATAATTTGAAATGATAAAAGTAAATGGTAAAATTACAAAATAAGGTAAGAAGAAATTGTGTGTGTGCATGTGTATGTGTGTGTAATTAAGAGTATTAATAGATTGAATTTGAATTAAATTAGATAAATTTAAATTTAAATTTGATTATCTATTTTTTATATCTCAATTTGATTTGAAATTCTATAATATTTGTATTTGTTAAATTATACTGAATCCAATAAATAATTTAAATTTGATAAAAAAAATTTGATATACAAGAAAATAATATTGTTTTATACTTAAATCTCTCAACTCTATTTCATCAATCATATTAATTCTTGAAATTTTTGATTTTAACAATTTGTCCTTGCAAGTTTAAATATTATTAACATTATATATATATATATATATTATTTAAGTTAATAAAAAATATTGTTAAAATTTGAATTTAGATTTTTAATAGATTAGATTACTTAATTTCATATCTGATTCACTTATTTCGGATTACAGATATTAATAATCAGATCTAATTTATCAAATATTTTAATTAAATTCAAATATCAAAATTTGAATTAAATTCAAATTAGATTTAGATTAAAATCTAATCTATTGACAGTCTATATATAATATTATACTTGGATGAGAAAAAATATGAAATATAATAAAGTGAAACCAATAAATTTTGAAAGTTTTAAATAAAGATTCATGGACAGGATATAAAAAATTTGAATAAAATTTTCATTTTTTTTGTTGCTACGTTGCATAGTATATCTTGTGTGAGGATTATTATCTTTTTTTAGAAAATATATATATTAGAATATACAGTACCATAACTTATAATCCAATTATCCCTGTTTCCTCTCCACGGTGGGATTCATGACAATGTTGTGTAAGAAATTGTTTGTATCTCTTATTTAATCTCTTGTAGCAACAAATAATGGACTGTTAGCTGGCTAAACAAATAATTCCGTAACCTGTTTTGGCAAAATGAAATTATGAGTATTATGAGGGGTAATAATCAATTAAATAGTCTTATGCAAAGCACAACAAGCCAAGAAAGAATCTCACGAGTAAAAAACGTTTGATCTTCTTTAAACCTTGAGATCTTATTGTCTCGTCCATATTCAAAATCTCCCAAGCGGTGATGTAAATTGTAAAGTAAGTTTCACTCTTAGGATAAATTGCAGAAGGAGTTTCCCATACTTTTCTTGGTTTCAATTTGGTCCCTATCCTTCCTATTGCATCAATTTACCCCATACTTTGTAGCAGGAGTTCCCATGCTTTTCTTGACAATCCTGTGGAGGACGTCACAGCTAGTCATAGTCAATTAGACCATGTGCTTTGTCTTGACTTGCGGTTACTCCCAGGCCTTTTTTTTTTTTTTTTAAATGACTGTTGTTAATTCTACTCAATAGGATTTGGACATATAGTGCAGGGGCTAAACTGCTGCAATTGAAAGAATGGAGATCAAATAGAAATTGGGTGTAAAGTACGGGAATTCGTAAATTTTCCTAACCACGTGCGCTATTGAGACAAAAGAAGGCTACAAAATTGGAAAAGAAAGTTCTCGTAATGGGTTTCCCTTCTTATACTTTTTAACTTGTCTTCTTGTTTGTGCATTATTACTGGGCAAGGAGGACGGTGACGAGGAAGCTTCTAATTTTTCAAACTGCCTATTGGTAAAATAGACATGTATTGAGTGAACTCTAAGAGGGTCCCTCCCTTGGTAGTTCTCGGCATCTGCCTTAAAAAGAATTGCATCATCCTTGGAACAAATTATATATATAAAGCTTAGTTTCTAACACGTTTAGCACTGGCAATCACTCCGTATAAATAATTTTGAAAACGGAGCCTGGCTTCCTAGCTTTAAGGCTCATCTTCCAGAGATGGTGAGGGCTCAGTTCTGCAAGAAGACTGGTTTGAAGAAAGGAACTTGGAGCCCTGAAGAAGATAAGAAGTTGGTAGATTACATCAACAAATACGGCATTTGGAACTGGAGTGAAATGCCGAAGTATGCAGGTAAGATCCAATAAAGGCCAAATGGTTGAAATAAATTATGAAAAGTTGCCGCTTCTTCTCTCTTCCTCTCTTCTTCTTCTTCTTCTTCCTTCTTCTTCTTCTTCTTCTTCTTCTTCTTCTTCTTGTTTCTTAATTACCTTGATTTGTTTCAGGTTTGAGGAGGTCTGGGAAGAGTTGCAGGCTCCGATGGATGAACCACCTGAAGCCGGGTATCAAGCGTGGGAACTTGACAAGAGATGAAGAAGAAACAATAATAAAAATGCACGAAAAGCTAGGAAAAAGGTAAGCATTTCACCTAATCTATTGGGTCACGTACCTCTCTAGTAAGATTCTTAGTAGATAATAGACGGCAAACAGAACACCAGCCCTATGTCTAGGTCAGACTTCTGTTGAAGAAGTTTGTGCATATATACAATTATTTGTTCTAGGATCAGTAACAGAATTTTTGAGGATATGGACAAAAGTTTTAATTAGATTTTCTATATTATATATCAAAAAAGAAAAAAGATATCACAGGAAAAAAACAAAAAATTAAAGAAGTTTTTGAACTTAAATATGTTAAAACTAATTAAGGAATGTCCTAACTGATTTCTTTTTCTTGAAGATGGTCTGCAATTGCAGCAGCACTGCCTGGAAGAACTGACAATAAAATCAAGAACTACTGGCATACCCATCTAAAGAAACGGCAACATAAGCCGGAGGCTCAACTGCAAGCAAGAGTGAGACCATCCATAATGAATTATCTCAGTTGGACCTCTTGCCTTCTTGCAGTGCTCCATCACAACTTCCTTCGGGCCTTTCCTCATCCCCATCTATCGATCCTGTTCTTGGGCTAGCGGAAGTGTCAAAGTTGAGGCAAATCTTGGCTTAGAATCACGTGAAGAACTCCCAAGTTTGGCCGATAAAGTAGTGTCCATAGGAAACTGGGATGCACAAGATCTCCAAGATATGATTGATTGTATGCAAGGGATAGCTTTTGATCCGGGTTATGCAGTGCCATACTATGAGCCGTGGTGTGAAGAGCCTATGAGTGGTCCATGTAGCTTCTACAATGAAGCAACCAGTGACCTTTGTTGGCTCAACTTCTAGGGTCCTCGTGTAATTGTTGGTGTAAAATAGCCTAGTATCCATATATAGTGGTATTCGTTTTTGCAAAATTAAAAATTGAAACTTTAAACAAAAGTTGATGGAGCTGGGTTCGAAATAAAAATTAAGTATGTTTGTAAATATATTATCAAGCGCTGGAAAAACTAATAAAATAGGTGTTTGGAATGTGATTTGTGTAATTTTGAATTTAAATTTAAAAAAATCTGAAAAATCAATCTTGGATTTTTCTCATGAAAAGGCAAGGGCAGCTTTGATTTAAGAAAAATTATGAAAACAAAAATGTCCAAAAATAATTTCTACTTAATTTCGATAATAACACTGGTAAGAGAAACACTCGTCTTCTCTTCTAGAATCATATTTCGATTCTACTCTTATTTACTTAGTACAAGGATGTCATCCGATGCCGAAATTTTTTTTAGAGAATGAGAAATTGAAAGCAAGTTTAGAAAGAGTAAAAGTATTTGTGAATCATTAAAAAAATAGAGAAATACTGCAAAGAAACTTTTGCAAACACTATTTGCGAAGTAGGAGTTATTAACTTGCTCTAATCACTAAAAAAAGTATTTCTTTACGTTGAAAAACCCAAAAGTGAATTTGGGAACACCAGAGAAACACCATCGTCACCTACAGCTATCAAAATTTTCATGGTTGGGAAGTACTCAAAATTAAAGATGAGACTTGCCCCGGGCAGGGTGACACACAATATGGGCAAGGCAATAAAGCAAGTTTTTCTTTCATCTATCGCCTGTTAATATTCCAATCAATTCTTCCAATCCTCATATTCAGTAACGAGAATCACTCGTAGACCTCAGAAGGCGTCATTTTGCAACTTTGGTTGCTCCACCACCTAATTTATGGAGTCTTGTATGCCACTTCCCATTAGAGAAGTAGAATTAGTTCTCGAGGTCTGACCTGCGCCGCGTTTTAGAGTAGATGAGGATGGTGTATGACGACGTACGGGCAGCGGTAATTATTCCTTTTCAGCTGAAAGTTTAATGAAGGATAAAACTCATTAACCCAACCCCTGTGCCCTCGTTCCTTTGAGAGAGGCGAAGCTGGAGCAAAGGAATGGAAAAAGAGACGAGAAATTAACGGCTTGAGCGGTCTTGGGCCGGTTCTCAGGCTTGTTCTTCATGAGGAACCTGAGTTCTGTATCTGTTTGCTTACGATCGTTGATTGAGCACAATTCCAGGAAGGAGACAAGCCACTGAATCAAATCTTCGTAGTTGTTGGAAGCGCAGGAAGTAGACGAAGTCGACGTTTGCGACACCACTGCAGGGTTAGTGGTCGAGGAAACAAAGATTACTCAAGTAAAGATAAATAAAAGCCTAGCAATACCGGAGTGCCGGTGGAGCTCACTGATGGCCTTGGAAGAGGTTGGACCGCCCAGATTTTAATGGTTTCAGTGAATCGACAAGCATAGCTGGCTGCGCCGCCATGGAACTTGACAGCACGTAGTAGATATCACCAAGCGCAAGATGTTCATGGATTGGTTGAGTTTTGATAGTTAAATTTAAATTAAATTATATTTTATTATTTATGAATGTAAAAATAAAATTAATTAAATTTGTTATTTTTATAAAAATTTTAGTAGAGTTAGATATTTAAAATTTTTAAATATATTTAATTTAATATATAATAAATATATAGTGATAGAATAATGAAGTTTGAATAATAAAAATATATAATATACATGTAAGATATGATTCAGTTTAATTTATACGATTTGTTAAGATATTAAATATTAAACTAAATAATATAAAAAAGTCATTTTTACAAATCAAAACAAACCAAATTACGCTTTAATATGTTTAAATGGTTTGATTCAGTTTATTGAAAATGGCTACTGTTAACAATATTATCAAAAGTGAATTTTTTCTTGAAGTGTTTGGATTATGTAGAAACGTAAAAGTGAAAATTTTACTTAATACACATATATAAAATTTTATATAATATAGACATAACTGATATAATATAAATAATAATTAATAATAATTCAGACTAAAATAATCAAATCATAAATATTCAAATTTAAAATTATCATGAGTACAAGGCCAGTAAGAAATAAAGGGAAATTAAATTAAAATAAATAAATCACTTGTATGAAATAAAGACTAGAATAATTCATTGGATGAAGTAACTAGTAAAATGATAAATTATGAACTTACGATTAAGGTCGTGAAACAGTCGATAAAAGTGAGATTTTGCAGATTTTATCGCTTTAAATTGAGCTTTCACAAGATTTTAGTTAAAAAGAACTTTAAGTGTAATCCGTAGCATTTGGTGTGAGTAAAAGCACAAACGTATATATTTACGCTTTAAGGCACGTTTTTTATAACCACAACTATGAAGTCCATTTCCTTCACTTGTATTTTTGTGATTTCAATTAATGGGTAAGGGTAACTACAAGATTAAACATTTGGTTCACTACAATTTTGTGAGTTTATCAAGAGCCTTTAAGTTATTTAATAGGTTCGATTACGGTCAATGTTAAAAATTAACATTGCTATTAAATTGGAGATTTCAATGTTTTCATAATTTATGGGTACACTAACAAAAAATTGATAGTTAAGACAAGTTTAATGAATTTCAATTTTAATTAAGTCCTGGTCTTTTATTGTGGCTGAGATGGCCGGATTAGCATTTCTAATCTGCGAACCATATGTCAAAAATTCTCTAGAAGATGTTCCGCTGATAAATATGCTACTGTTTCACAGAGCAATGCCAGCGCATTTTTGGACTAGCTCCATAATTTTATTAGGATTCATTTATATTCTTTTCTTTTCCTTTGTATTAGAGGCGATGTAAATTACACTCTGCACCCCACTACTTTTTCAGAATTATTCCTTAAAAGTTTTAAATGTGACAATCAAAACCCTGTATATTTAGTTATCTTGAAACATTCCTTTCATCAATTAGCCTATCTAATAGTGGTTATCATTAATTCTAAACTTTGAGACGTGAACTAAAGACACTTATAAGTGTAAGTTACAGTCTATATTTGATACTAAATCCTAATTCAGTGGGTCAATAATTTTAATATTCATTAGATTAATATCAGATACAGATTCTAATACTAATTTAATGAATATTATAGTTCTTAACCTAGTAGGTTAGGATCCAATATCAAATAAATTGTACATAGGGTAGCATTTTCAGTCTTTGATAAGCCCCATAAATCCTATTAAGAAATTTGTCATTAGAAAGTTAATATTTGAGTTGAATAATGCACATGGTGGGTATAATGAGAGAAAACAAAAAAGAATTCGGTGACATGAAATAAGATTTCAAAATTTTAGATAAAATAAAATAGACTAAGATGACATCGTTGAGATTGGTAAAAAATTTTAATATGTCATATGCTAGGTGGGATAAATATTGTCAAATCAAAATTAAACATGTGGTGAATAGTTGAAATATTATTCATAGCAATTAATATAGAAACTAGAATTATAGTTTGTATGGTTTGTACAAAGGCAAAGTAAGTCATGTACTCTGTACAAAATATTAAGCGATTGATAAAATCCGGTTGTCAAGTGTCAACTATTTGAATTGACAAAAATCTGCTAGATTTTACATTTTTTTAGATATATATTTCATATATTTAAAATAATTTAAATTGGTAAGAGGTAAAAAGCTAATTATTTTTTCAAGAAAGGGCATATATATATACACACACACACATATTACTTCGCACGTAAATTTTTTATATTTATGTACCTACGTGATAATTATGAAAACCAGATACATGTTTGGCGGTTTGTTTCATTGCCTGGGTTCCATTTCATGCTTCTAAAAGTTGAACCACACAACAAGGCTGATGGAAACAAAGAGGTTGGGATGACTAAATTTGCAAGTGTAGAAAGGAAGTCCAAAAGGAGATAACCATTGAATCTGTCAAAAAGACTCCAAGGATAATGATTTTAAATGCGCACTCTATCTAAATTAAAGATTAATTTACACTAAACCAAATTAATTAATTAAATTTCCACGTGACCCTTCTATAGTTTTCCACATTAGAATAATTTCCCAAAGCAAAGTTCTTCCTGCTAGATACTTTATAATTATTTTCTCCAATAAATAATTCACTAATTGCTAATAAAAAAACTAGCATAATTGACAAAGATTGGCCTGCGCAATGACCTATTTCATACCGGCCATCTAGTTCTGGGGGTGTCCACACAAAACAAACCAAATTAAATATGTACTTCAATGGAAGGTTTGAAAGTAAAATTATGTCAAATTAGGTGTGCGGTTTGTCTTATGCTTCAATTTTTCATTTTTGGGTTTTTGTGTAATGCGACAGTAACAAGCCATGTCACATTGACGCTCGTTTGATTAATTAAAACATGTTTAAATGCATATAGATGTTCAAGTTGATAAATTATTTTGACATTTATCGACTTACATAGCACAGAAAACAATTTAATTATCTATAAAATCAAGGGGGGATAGGTAGGATGTATGCTATTAACCAACAAAGGGAAGGCAATGGTTGCACACATGAATGTAGAAATGGATGTTCCAAAATATATGATTGGTTTCGAATATTTTCGTAATATTTAAATTTCACAATAATTGAAAGGGAAAATTTTATAAGAGAATATAAACTTGGCCCTTAAGTTACTTGAATTGGCCAATATTGTTAGATAATGCATTTTCATAAGTAATTATCATGTTAATTTTTTGGAATATATTGAATTAAATTTTTATTATTTCAAATTTCATT